AAGACAGCCTAAACTGGGGTTGGGACATATAACACATATATGGAGGAGTGCTTGAAGAAAGGGATGGGGAGAGGAATGCTCAAATATTTTAATGTTTTTTTCTCCAATTACAAATATTTGGTGAAATTTGATATTTTTTTCCAAATACATAGGGTCTGAGAAGGTCTGCCAGGCGCCTAAGAGCACATTTCAGACCCTTTCAGACCCGTAGATTCTACTCGGGCTCAGTAGAATTGATGTGTTTTAATTTTTTTTTGGAATATTTAAAATCATATCTTTGGTGTAATAGTTTGAAATACATAATTTAACAATAATTTGTTTACAATGTTTCAATAATTGAGAATTAGGTAAATTTGTTTTTACTGTGCAGGTAATATCCCAGCAAACAAATATTTATTTAAACTCGAAAGAAAATCAAGTTTTGATTCAAAGAACTCGAAATCTCTCTTTACTGTATTAACAAACAGTATTTCTGAAATGTCTACTTATAAAATTAATGTATTCTGGAAAGTTTTGTGTTACTGTTGATTGAGAACTTGAATACAGAGGTCTGCGTTTACATCAATACAATGATGAATTGAGTGTAGGATCACGAGTAGAAAACAACAGAAGAAAACATAATCAGAGGATGGAGAAGATAAAAAGTTAAATTAAAATGAAAAGAAACACAAAACAAAGAAATGTCTTTGGACGACGTCTTCTATAAATTAGAATAAAAGAAAAAATAAGAAAACGGATACGCGAAGTTTAAAAGACAAATTTGACAAAAACAACAAATTTAGATTTAAAAATTGATTAGTAGAAGACGACATCATAAAATCTCTCTCTGGATTATATTCCTTTTAACAATCTATCAATATTTTCCTTTTAACTTTCTATTCTTGGTATTCTCTCTTATCCTTTCTTTCCGCTTATTCGGAAAGTACCCGATATTTATTCTAAAATAGACGATTTGTTGTTCTGGTCGAAAGCAAAGGTTAAAAAACCAAATTTTAAGAAAGTATCAAATTGCAATTAACTTATTAATTACTCTTAAACTAAATATGTGATTGAGGTAAACTAATAAATTACTCTTTTCACACTAATAAATGATTTTTTATATCAAATAATTATTCTTTCTATGATGATCAATTATTTATCTGTACTAATCAATTATTCTTTCTATACAAATAAATTATTTTTTGTATATTAATTAATTATTCTATCTATAATAATCAATTATTTCTTCTGCATTAATCAATTATTATAAACTTAATAGAAACTCATGTATAAAGAACTCAATAAAGGCAACTTTACAAAGACAAACTCAATATAACAAGCCAGATGGAATCGATTAAAGCACTAATTTTGCACGGACATTTATTTTACATTATTATTAAAATACAAACTGAGGATCAACCGAAGTTAATCCTGGAATCATAGATGGAGCTAATTCTCCTCTCGGAGCTACTGGAGCTGTGATCGACCGCTCTCTTCTGATCCTTCATCAAGACTAACCCTTTTCTCGGGGACAAAATGGACGTTCAGATTGCTTTCTCTTCCGACGAAAGCACCGTTATCCGTGTTCCCCTGATAAGGATTCCCAGGATTTGAACCTTGCTACCCTGGAAATTTCCTCTGGCCGTTGATACCAGCTCCAGTAGTAACGGGTTAAATGCAATCAATATTATTTTGTTTGTCCAGTTCTCAACTCATGATACAACTTTAACTTGGGTTGAATGAACTAGGCTATGGTTCTACATCCTTGGTGGGTTTACATTATTCTTTCTATACAAATAAATTATTTGTGTATATTAATTAATTATTCCATCTATAATAATCAATTATTTCTTCTGTACTAATCAATTATTCTTTCTATACAAATAAATTATTTGTGTATATTAATTAATTATTCCATCTATAATAATCAATTATTTCTTCTGTACTAATCAATTATTCTTTCTATACAAATAAATTATTTTTTATATATTAATTAATTATTCTATCTATAATAATTAATTATTCTTTTTATACTAATATTCTTGAATTTTATTTGACTGAAATCTATCAAAAGCATAATTTTATGAATGTCCTTAAAATATTTTGGTAGGCTTGGCATAAAATTTTAATTTATTGATTTTTAATGCCTCTGTCCGGGTCCAAAGTAATCATCTCCTTCTTTTTTATCAGAACTATATCCACTTGAAGCTGTTGTTAATTTAGAACTATATCCACTTGAAGCTGTTGATAATTTATAACTATATCCACTTGAAGCTGTTGATAATTTAGAACTATATCCACTTGAAGCTGTTGTAAATTTAGAACTATATCCACTTGAAGCTGTTGTTAATTTAGAACTATATCCACTTGAAGCTGTTGTTAATTTAGAATTATATCCACTTGAAGCTGTTGTTGATATGGAATTATATCCACTTGGAGCAATAGTTGATTTAGAATTATATTCAGTAGGAGCTATAGTTGATTTAGAAACATATCCAGTTGAAGCCATTGTTGGTTCAGAATTATATCCACTTGGAGCCATTGTTAGTTCAGAAACATATCCAATTGGAGCCGTTGTTGGTTTAGAAACATATTCAGTTGGAGTAGTGGTTGGTTCAGAAACAGATCCAGTTTGAGTCGTTGTTGCTTCAGAATTATTTCCAGTTGGAGTAGTAGCTGGTCCAGGTCCAGTGGGTGTGGTAGCTGCACCAGGTCCAGTTGAAGCAGTAGGTGCACCATAATAATAATATGAATAATCATAAACATAATCATATAAATGTGTAGAAGGTAGATTTCTCTTCTCCTCAGGTGATAAAGGTCTTGTAAAATTCCCTCCAGTTCTGAAAGGTATTTGATCACTTCTAGAAGAGTCATAACCATCAGCAGGTTCATATGTGTAATCCCATCCTTTTAATTCATCTAAAATAAACTAATGATGAAAAGTTTGGTTTCATAATATACGGTTTAACCCGGAACTTTGGAGACATCCAAAATGTCTTCAAAATTATGGGTTAAACTGTAAAAGACCTAAAAACTTGCCATTAATGAGATTTTAAAAGTAAAGCCTCAAGTCTTTACAATTAATAAGTCTAATACTACTGCTGAATGTGACGGCTTCTGATAGGTTCATATTTATATTTTAAAAGTAAAGCCTCAAGTCTTTACAATTAAAAAGTCTAATACTACTGCTAAATTTGACGGCTTCTGATTGGTTCATATTTATATTTTAAAAGTAAAGCCTCAAGCTTTTACAATTAATAAGTCTAATACTACTGTTAAATTTGACGGCTTCTGATTGGTTCATATTTATATTTTAGAAAATATTAAAAATAAAAAGTAAAAGAATTTGCAAAAAAAGAACAAAAAAATAATTTATGCTTAAATTTTACAGTGTCAGAAACTAGCAAAAGGTAGATTTACTCATGTATATTTGAAAACTCAAACTTCGAGAATATCATTTTTTTTCATAATTTTGACACTTAATTTAATTCTCAAGAGTTAAATGTAAATGTAAAAAATACTTTTGACAAAATTATCCGGCTTCACTAAAGACCAGGTAAAAGATGAGATAAGTCCAGCAAACCGGTTTTACCTAAAATCAAGTCTAGCTAAAACTGGAGTCTCCACATTGGTTTCAATTGAGCTTAAATAGACGCTAAAGCCGGGTTTTTACTCGGGTTTAAAGGAACTGTAAGCGTAATTTCAAGTGACTCTTAATTCAAAGAGGGGAATGCCGATTAACAATGGTACCCGTAAAACCTTTGTGTGTGAAGTTACATGTAAACGCTTGCAGTCAGCTGAAAATGCCGGTGTGTGTGTGTGCTGTCTATGTACAGTGTTCACTGTACATGTCTCAACTCAATCTAGAGCCAGCGCCCACCGGCATTTTCAGCCGACAACAAGGGTTTACATATATCGCTGTACAGGACGAACACACAACGGTTTTAAGGTTTCCGTTGTAAATCAAGCTTTCCCTTCTGTTCTTGAAACTTGAAAATAAACAATTGTCAAATCTTGAATTTTTTATTTTAATTTGTATAACTTTATATAACTTTTATAATTTTTTATCATGTATCTAGTTATGCAAAGAAAAATCGATTGAAAAAAAGAAACACTTGAAAGATAAAATACCTTTATCAGAAACCTCTGTGACATTTTTGTCAAATTTCTCCCACCCTACAACAGAACTTAAAAATATATTTTATTAACATGTTTAAGGGTTTTCTAAAATATTTAATGTATGCAATAATGAGGTTTTTCACAATATTTGTGTAAGAAAAAAAAGAAAATTTGCAAAATGCTCTCAATTTCAACACTTTTAAGATAGAAAAAGACGTAAAGAGACACGTACTCATTAAAATTGGAATTGATTTATCCAGGTTTAGACATATAGCATACCTGCAGGTTTAACCAAATATGTTTTAGCGTTTATATTTGCTGCAAGGAAGCAAATCAGTGTCAAGATTAGAACAGACACCATTCTTTAGGGAACTTAAAATTATCATGTAATTAAACATGGTAAACGATGAAAGATTTCAATGTAACATGAAATATACTTTAGTTTGACGTGGTGCAATCTTCTTAACATAGATAAATAAATAAACATAGATAGCTTATTGTTTCCATAGATAAATAAATAAACATAGATAGCTTATGTACGCAAAATCACCAAGAATTGTACAGTCCGTGAATTCATACTTCTAGGGGTCATAGTGTACTTCAATGATAAGCGGGGTGGTTTAGTGTTTTAATGGATTTCATAATAGAGTGTAAAATAACTCCGGGAATGGAACTATTTGAACAACAATATTTCACTGTGCAATATATCATATTGACGAGAACTGAAGAAGGACATGAGACTGACTAAACCTAACTTAAATTTCTCTCTACAGAATTCATCGTACACCACAAGTACTCAATGACATAAGAACAGCCAATGTTCACAACCGACCTAGTTAATCTGTATAATAGGAATATCTTTAAAACATCACTGTTCATTTATATCTTTCAAGATGAAAAATGTCGTCTTATGCGTAATCTTTCTTTATCTATGCTTTTTAATTTACAAATTTTTTAGAATGAACTTTGTTAAACAAAAAGGATGAGACTTCAGACACGACAAAAAGAAATTCAATTTTATTTAATTTACAATTTATTCCCATAAAAGAGTTTATGATAAAAAAAAAACATCGGAAAACTGTGATAAGAAATATTTGACCTAATGAAGCACAGTTTGATCTGTAGAAAACTATGATAAAATTCTAAGTAATAGATCAATTATACACGACGTCACAAGTGTCAAATATAACAAGAAAAACGAAATTTTCTCACATTAGTTGACATGGTTTTCAAGATTAATTTAAAAAGTTTAAAAGTAGAAATTAAAGAACATATAAAATTAAACTTTTATTACAGTAAGATAAGCACTTTATTCGAAAATCCTTAATATTATTAATAATTTTTTTCGGACACAAAAACTATGTTGACACTTATGACGTCAGAATACAGCTGTACTGAGAGTGTACAAATTCTACGTTGCCATCTATTGTACTAGAATCTGTTTGAGTTTATCTAATAAAACTTTAAGATATGGCTGAACAGAAATGCCAGGATTGCCACAATTTCACAATGAATATTGGTGAATGAATTATTTATAATTGTAAAATGCATTATCATATAGTAAAAATATCACTGGACTAGTAGCAGAAGAAAAAGAAGGTAAACGCGAAATTATTGGTACCATTTTGTGACCCCATAGCTCATCTTTTTTGTTTATAAGTATGAAAATAGCTATATTTTTGGTTACATGGATTGTAATTCAAAACTTGTTCTTCTTGATAACTTTTTATAAGAAATGTTTTGATTAAAAACATATATTTAAGATTGCAAACTAACTAACGTAAGATTAGCTGATTAGTAGGAATAAACAAATTAACAAATTTTCTAGATTATTTATTCATTGTAAACAATTTGTAAATAAAACAGTTTAAATTGATAAAACTGAAAAATAATAATTGTATAGATCATGTGTGACGAACATTAACCAAAAACAATTAAAAGATCAGACCACAACATTTATAATTTGCACCATCCTATATACAAAACCTTTTGGCGGATTTTCTTTATTTTTTCCGCACCCTGGTTTGTGTGGAATTCTGTAATTAACCAACCAAAGGTTTAAAAATGCTTACCATCATTATTACTTCATTCACCATTGTACAAAATTTTAAAAACAAAAAAGATTCGAAAAAATTTTGTGTTATTTTACCAAGATAAATTGTACACAATGTATTACAAATACAAGTACAATTTGAAATGTGATGATATATCTTAGGGGGGTTAAAGAAAGTCCATCCCAAACTAGGGGACGGGGGTCATGATTGTTAAAAGAGAACCACTGAAAGAAAGTCCATCCCAAACTAGGGGAGGGGGGTCGTGATTGTGAAAAGAAAACCACTGAAAGAATGTCCATCCCAAACAGGTTCTAGTACATGGATGGCAGCGTAGTTTTTGTGTCCGACAAAACTATTAATAAAAGTGATTATTATGAAATAAAGTGCTTATCTTGCGGTAAAATAAGTTCAATTTTATATATTCTTTATTTTCTGTTTTAAACTTTTTTATTTAATTTTAGAAAACATGTCAAATAATGTGAGAAAATTTCGTTTTCCTTGTGACGTCGTGCGTCATTAGTCCAGTTCTCATATTGCCACCTATATTGTACTTGATAATCTATTTGGCCCATCTTTATTCTAATTTTGTGATGGGGTGTTTGTGTATGGGAGTGTGAAAGTGTGTGTGTGTGTGTGAAAGAGTGGGTGATTATTTTCAGCTGTGTTTACAAAACATATTGCTCAGGAGATTAATGTTAAAACTTTAGGAATAGATTAAATATAAACACAGATATTTCACACTTTTATACTTTTAGATTAAATATAAACACAGATATTTTACACTTTTGTACTTTTAGATTAAATATAAACACAGATATTTTACACTTTTATACTGTTTAGATTAAATATAAACACAGATATTTTACACTTTTATACTTTTAGATTAAATATAAATACAGATATTTTACACTTTTATACTGTTTAGATTAAATATAAACACAGATATTTTACAATTTTATACTTTTTAGGCTAAATATAAACACAGATATTTTACACTTTCGGGTTTAAGGAATAGTTGGGATATAAACACAGATATTTTAAAGTTTTAATCTTCACAATCACCGAAAATGGCAAAAACCGTCCATTTGGTTACGTTTTGAGAATCCGTTTTTCATAATTATTAAATACGACGACGAAAAGTGTATCAAAAATTTTACAGTAAACTTATTAGATGTTTAGGAACAACTAATTTTTTCAGCATTAAATTTAATTTCTTATTCTATACGATTTTTATTGTAGAATTCTACAAATTCTTCAAATGTCGTCTTTTCAATAAAAATTCCAGAAAATCTACAGAAAATGCTTGTGAACAATGAGAGATTACAGAAACTAATAACTGAATAAGATTACTTATTTTCGTTAATATAATAGTTAATTTTTATTTTCTTAACCTGTTCCTAAACAGCTAATTAGTTTACTGTAAAATTTTTGTTTCACTTTTTGTCGTCGTTATTTAGTGATATTTAAAAAAAACAATTCACAAAACGTAACCATCCAAATGGGTGATTTTGACTTTGCGCTTAAACTTATTAAGTTTACATCACTAACACGTTGTACATGTCTCAAATGAATCCTGAAATATTTCTCCACAATACTACATTCTCAGTTTAACTACCATTCATTGTTGGTCACTCCCTTTAGACGAATGTGTGACCCAGTATGCATTAGAAAAGTATTTGTGACCCAGTAGTTCCTAAAGTTTGCGCATTACGCATTACGCAGTTTGTGACCCAGTAGTTCCTCAAGTTTACGCATTAGAAAAGTATTTGTATGATAAAAGTAAATATATTTGGTAAAATATTAGAAATTAAAACATATCTGTTAGTCTTTATCTTCAATAGAAGAAGTTATAATTGAAAACATTTCCATTTTACATACAATTTACTTAAGTTTGAAGTATATATCTTGAGCGGTGTTGAATTCTGACAATTGTTTTCCCTATCTCAGTTTAATTCTAACTTGACTAATTTATTTTTTGCACAGCCGATAGTTTGAAGGAAACCATTTTTAATCGAATAGGTAACTTTATCTATCTATCTATCTAACTAGCTGTTGAAATAGAAGCTCACTTTAAATGACATAGAAAGTCGCTTTGACTTTATTTTTGTAACTCCTTACTGAAAAAAATAACAGTATGCTGATTATAAAATTTATTTTTAACACATCAAGAGTTTTAGAAATTCTTATTATGATTAAATAAATAAATAACATTTCAGTAGATAAGAATAGAACATAAAACATTATGATTAAAGGAATAATTTACATTTCAGTAGATAAGAATAGAAATTAATACATTATGAGTAAAGGAATAATTTACAAATTAGTAGATAAGAATAGAAATAGATACATTATGATTAAAGGAATAATTTACAAATCAGTAGATAAGAATAGAAAATAATACATTATGATTCAAGGAATAATTTACATTTCAGTAGATAAGAATAAAATTAATACAACATGGTTAAGGTAATAGTTTACATTTCAATAGGTAAGAATAGGAAATAATTCATTATGATTAAAGGAATAATTTACATTTCAGTAGAAAAGAACAGAAAAATGCATAAAACAAATTATCAAAGAAAAAAGTTGTTGATACAAAAAGTTTAAATAAGATTTATGTATTGTATAGTAAGATAAGTATATGAATCCGATTTTGGAATAAAGTTCATAGATAATGTTTTTGGTATTGATAATTTACATTAAAAAAATAGTTGTTTTCTTTTTTATAATTTTTTTGCGTAAGTATGTTTAAAAAGTTAAACTAATTAAAGCAAAACAAATAATACTTTTAAATATTTTTAAATTAAAAAAAACTTTGAAAATTGTTGAATGGAATTTTCCACTTTTAAATTACGATTGTTAATTTGCAAAATAAAATATTAGAGTTAAGTTAATAATCCTAATTATAATAGATATATATATATTTGATATTTATAATTTTCTCCATTATGTTCTCTCTTATTTTTCTCCATTTAGGTTTTAAACAGCATGAAATATGTTCAAAAGTTAAACGTTTCAAAACAAAACAAAAAAATATATTTTTAATATATTGGTTGTTACATATAGAAACTGTACATGTTAGAAAGAGTCTGAAAACTGTTATTAAAATTTTTCGGTTTATTAATTACAATATTTGGTGTAGGGTAGGGTAGCATAAGAACACAATGGTATTTTCTTTATAATAAAAATACAAATAGAAAAATTGACACATTGAATTTTTCTCCATAAAGTTATTTCTTACATATCTCCATTATGGTTTTTAACAGCAAAGATTTTTTTCAAAAAGATTTGATTAACTATTTTGTAATTTGTTTGTTAAAGACATTATGAATAATTGAAATGTTGAGATTTTTTATTTAATTTTACTAGTTTTAATCTCCAGTAATATACTATTTAAGATTTAACGTTTACTATATCCCAAAAGATTATCAAGTACAAGAGGTGGCAACTGAGAGATGGATCAATTATACACGACGTCACAAGTGTCTAATATAACAAGGAAGACGACATTTTCTCACATTAGTTGGCATGTTTTCCAAAAAAGTGTAAAAACAGAAAATAAAAAAACACATAAAATTGCACTTATTATCATTATTATTAATATTTATGTCGGACACATAAAACTTTTGGCACTTGTAACGTCAGAATACAGCTGTACTGAGAGTGTACAAATTATACGTTGCCGTCTATTGTGATTGATAATCTATTGGATATCAGTGGTTTTTTTGTTGTAAATTTTTTTTAAAAAATTGTCAAGGATTTAAAATAGATAAACATACGATGCACATTCTAAATCCACGGTTAGATTATAAGCTTTGTTAGAGTGCAAATAAACACTGCACTATGATTTAAAGGTTGCATAGTCTCAAGTGAATATCCACGCGAGTTTTGCCAATAACTTCTTAAATACCAAAGCTATAAACAATTGCTTAGTGCTAAAATGTAGATGTAAAGGGCTACTGAAAAGTAAAATTTAATTAGATCAGCAAATTCAAAGCCCAGGGCGTTGCGACACTTCAAGGTCGACCCTGTCATAAAAATTGATGAACATTTTTATTAACTGCAGCTGAAAATATGTGAGTATTAGATTTTTTTGCAACATAGTCAACTATTTTGTTGACACCCTGCCTAACTCTGAACCCATCTTAGCAACAGCAGAGTCAACTATTTTGTTGACACCCTGCCTAACTCTGAACCCATCTTTGCAACATAGTCAACTATTTTGTTGACACCCTGCCTAACTCTGAACCCATCTTAGCAACAGCAGAGTCAACTATTTTGTTGACACCCTGCCTAACTCTGAACCCATCTTAGCAACAGCAGAGTCAACTATTTTGTTGACACCCTGCCTAACTCTAAACCCATCCTAGCAACAGCAGTTTTCTTATATCTGCAAGATATGGAGAAAATCCAGCTTGTTGCTGAGAAAGAAATAATATCAAAATTGTATGGGGGGGGGGGGGCCCAATGCACATGAATCCAGATTGCTATTAAAGTTGCATACATTTTCAAGAGTAGGTGTTTTCTACCTCCATCCCATGTGTTTTAACTTGCGCGAAAGCTTGCTACATTTGGATGATTGTGGGGTTGTTAAGTTTAAATAATTAAGTTAAAGTAACAAACAATTGTGTGCTTCGAAATAAATGCAAAATAAAATTCATGAATTCTCGTTAAAAAACTCACTTCTAATTTTTAATCATTATATCTAGGCAATCTAATGCCGTAACCTGATATTTTAAAAATCATTTTAGATCAAAAATTCAAAGTTTGAAATATTAAATATTAAATCTAGCAGTGACCAGCTTTTATGATTAGAAAAAGAAGTTAAACTTTGTAAATTAATAAACCATTTCATTTACTCGGCGCACAATGGAAAATTGGTTAAACCGATGATATGGAGTTCAACTCCTTTTTTGTATTCATTAATTGTGGTCCCTGGTTGCAAACATATTGTGATTCGAAGATTGAGTTTTATGCAAAGAATTATTCCCATTCTTTCCCTGTTTATTGCAGTGGATGCAATAGTAAATGCAAAATCATTTAAATTCGTAAGTTACTTAAAATAATGGATTACAAGTGCAAGGGTTTAGATAAACCTTACTAAACAGTAGAGCGGTCGGGATGATCGCTTTATACCTTTATAAGTAACACTGTACTTAAACCTCTATTAATATAAATCCAGAATTATCAATATTCAGTGGAAATCATATTGTAAAAAAAAGAATATATGAAAAAATATTCATCAGATTTGATGAAAAATTTAAATTAACACTTCTTTTCTGATTCTAGAGACACCAGGGATGTGACAAGAGATCTTTTGAAGCCAATCTGAAAAAAGATTCTAAAATTTTTAATTTAAGAATTTTTTACTGTTATAAATGCGAATATTAATATTGGCATGTATATGGGAGTAAAATGTAACTTGGTTACAAAATGTTAAATTTGATAAAAATTATTTATGAAATTACATTTAGGGCATAGTATCATTCACTTGCTATACCTTTTTTCAGGGTCCCTTTGAAGGCAGCCCAAAATCAGCTCCTAAAATATTCATTAAATCTGCACGGAGCTGTTTAGTTGTTTTTGAACGATTTGACCTTTGTTATTAGAAAAAAACAATGGTTACAACCATTGCAAATGTTTTCTTAATTTGAAAAAAATCAGAAACGATAGTTTAGACAATGATGGTTTTGATTAACTAATCGATCAGTTCATTTAAAAGAAAAGTAAAAACGATCCATAAAAATTCATTTAAAAATCCACAGAATTCGGTTCAAATGTCGTCTTTAATCCAAAGGTTTAATGGTTGCAAGCTCGTTAGCAAAAATTGATGAGAACTTTGCCATTTTTTTTAACCAAAGCTAACAACGAGTGCTTAAATGTTGCTGAAATTTAACTGTAAAAGGCTACAAAAAAGCATAATTGCGAGTTAGAGCGGTAAAATTAAAGCCCAAGGCTTTTGACAAATATTAACACGTGTTCATGTTATTACTTCAATTTTAAAGGAGCCCTGTAACTTAATCAATATAAAGGTAATTAACCATTTCGGATTTTTTGAAACACCGCCGCCGCGCCGCCGTGTTACCGGTAGTGTCGGATAAATGCTGTGTTGAAAATAACGACTCTAGCACTGAAACATTACCTTGAGATGCAGATCTTCTAACCCTCTTGGGAACTTGACTTGAAGGTAACAAATCTCAGAAAATGTATGGAAAGGAATATCTCCCACTGTAAGAGAAATGAAGTAGAATTCAAAATAATCAACTCTAAAAAACACAAAATTGTATGAAAAAAGTCTTTATATTTGAATTTGAATCATTGATAAAGTCAATATATAATTTGAAGTGCAAAGCATACGTAATACGTATTCTTACTTTTTTGTTGTTTTTTAATGTCAATTTAATCTCAATTGAACCTCAATTTCAGGAATTGCTTGCCTGATTCACAACGGTACCCTTTTAAACTTCCTATGAGAGAAAAAGACATCTGGAAAGAGAAAAAGACATCGGAAAAGAGAAATAGACAACTGGAAAGAGAAAAAGACATCTGGAAAGAGAAAAAGACATAAAGACATCTGAAAAGAGAAAATACATCTGGAAAGAGAAAAGACATTGGGAAAGAGAAAAAGACATCGGGAAAGATAAAAAGACATCAGGAAAGAGAAAAATATATCAGGAAAGAGAAAAGATATCAGGAAAGAGAAAAAGATATCAGGAAAGAGAAAAAAGATATCAGGAAAGAGAAAAAAGACATCTGGAAAGAGAAAAAGACATCGGGAAAGAGAAAAAGACATCCGGAAAGAGAAAAAGACATCGGGAAAGAGAAAAAGAGATCTGGAAAGGATATTGGCAGTATATTACATGTTTTTAAATAGAAAATTAATATATTTTCATTGCTGAAGGAAGATGTATAAAAAGGGTGAAAATCTTTTTAATAAAAATTCTCAAATCAATGCTATCCACTAGTCCTAAGTCCTAAAGTTTTCTTTGATACATTTTAAAAAAAGATTTGAGAATTTTTTTATAATTTTTTAACTCATTTAGTTTTTTAATTTTTTTTGTAAATCAAATCACTAATGTAAGACTGTAAGTCAGAACAAAATCGCCAAATAAAAAGATCAAAATATTTGTAAAAACCACTTTAAAATTGAGTTAATCAAAATAAAAATAACCGATTTTTAAAGATATATAAAAAGTTTTTTTAGCTGAAAAAACAAATTTTTTGAATTTTTTGACGGTATTCAGCGATTCAAGGCGCATCTTTTAATACCAATAGATCATCATGTTTTGAAAGAATTACAAAAATGACCTTCCCTTATGATCGTAGGTTTTTAAAACGTTAAAGACTGTAAAAATTTTCATTTTTTCAATTTTTTTTCTTTTTCTTCTTGTTACTTCCAATTTGCTACTTTGACATTTTCGATGGAATAGTTTCAGTTTATGTAAAGAGTAAAAATGATAAATTGACAGCTTCTTATAAAGAAAAAATGTTTCTACCTCATTTTTACTTTTAAAAGATTGAAAGGGTACCACCGCACTGTTGTGAATCGGACATGCAATACTATTTAAAATTCTGTCCCTGTAATAACTTGTCTTCCAAACCTAAAAGTGTGTGTAGTCTTGTAAGAAGTTAGAACAGTAATTAATAATTAATTTTTGTCTGAAACAGTTTTTACCAAGGAAAGCTTGGATTACTTTCAAATTTTAGAAACTTTCTTCAACTTTGATTTTCAAGCAATAAACCAACTTTCATTCACNAATTATGTACAATATTACCTAGCATGTTGTACAATAATATTCCTAAGGACCAGGCTGTACATGCAGAACTGTTGTACCAGCCGTACAGAAGTAATTCCGGGGGTGCATACACTCCTGTACCTTAATATACAGGGTGTCCCAGTAAACATCGAAATTATGTGATGAATTTGTAATGGCCGTTAATTTCAGCTGGTCCGGAAAGATCTAAAATCTAAATCTAAAACTTTGTTTTGGTCCTTTTAAAAAGAACATCTTCGAAATTTTTTTAGAAGTGATTGAATATACGCGCCATTCCGAAAACTTCATGCATTTTTATGACCAGACGGGCTCGTCTGTACTAATGGGTTAAGTTTTGATATTCTATGCATAGATCGTTTTGATCTAGATTTGTTCCAAGTAAATATAGGAATCATCTCTGGAAGTGAATAAAAACCGGTTTTAAAGTGAATCAGACTTTTAGACTTATAGCTCTATTTACCATCAAAGGGAATAGAGTTGTCCTCAAGGGAATAGACAGCTGATCCTAGATCTATCAGTTTAGTTTCAAGGGTCACCGGGTTTACTACAAAAAATATATTAGAAGCAACTAATCAATCAATCAAAACGAACAAAATTACAATCAATCAATCAAAAATAACTCAGCTTAGTTTCATGGGTCACTGGGTTCATTACATAAATAATCAACCAATAAATCTATCAATACAAGACCATTAGTTTAGTTTCAAGGGTCGCCGGGTTCACTTTAACAAATAAATTACAATCAACTAATCAATCAATTTATCCAAGATCTATCGGTTTAGTTTCAAGGTTCACCATGGTTCTATTCAACAAATAAATTACAATCAACCAATCAATCAATTTATCCAAGATCTATCGGTTTAGTTTCAAGGTTCACCATGGTTCTATTTAACAAATAAATTACAATCAATTTATCCAAGATCTATCGGTTGAGTTTCAAGGTTCACCATGGTTCTATTTAACAAATAAATTACAATCAATTTATCTCAGATCTATCGGTTTAGTTTCAAGGTTCACCATGGTTCCCTAGAAAATATTTTATAAGCACTCAGTTAATCACTGAATCAAACTATCTATTATTTAAGCTTCCAAAGTCACCAGGTTCAAAAAAGCAAAACATTAATCAATCAATCAATCGATAAATCCTAGATCTATTATTTAAGCTTCAAAAGTCACCAGAGCTGAAAACTTTAGAATGGTGGATATCGGGATTAAGGCTTAATCCACTCTTTTTCTTAATCTGCAGATTAAATATTGCTTGTTCTCCACTCATTTTTAATCTCCAGATTAATTATCCGATCAGGATTAAGGATATCCCATTTAAAAGTTCCCATCTCTGGTTCAATAAAGCAAAACATCAATCAATCAATCAATCAATCAACAAATCCAAGATCTATTATATTTAAGCTTCAAGAATCCCATGGCAAGTATATTACAATTATTCAATCTAAGATCTATTAGTTTAGTTTAAGGGTCCCTGGGTTCACAACAAAGCATTATCTTTTGATCCATAATTGGGTATTGGGAGATATGCTAAATTTTAAGAATTAGTGTTTTCTAAGAGCATATGCAAATGTAGATCAGAACAAAGAAATTTTTAGTAAATAAATGCTAAAACCTTATGAATTAATCCAATTTTTTAACAAAGTTATTGAATTCTATTCAACTATTCAATATTTAGCTGAGTGCATGGTTTTCATAAAAAAAAACATCTTGCTCCCTCTCTTGATGAATAAACGAAATAACCTAAAATATTTTCATCCTTGATATCTCTATGCACAACCCCGCAAGCTTCGCATTCTTGTATACTAGACACAACCTAGATACAAAATATGTAATACAAATATATTAATAATAGTACTAAGAATGATAATAATAATAATAATAATAATAATAATAATAATAATAATAATAATAATAAGATTAATAATATTCATGGCATTCTAGTTTTCAAACTGTATTCATGGCATTCTAGGGCAAAACGAGTATTTTATGTTTATTTGTTGAGCTTATTGGCTGTTAACATTAAAGTTTTTATTTATAAACCTTTATCTTTATCTGTCCAGCTGTTTAGGTTAGAAGAAGTATTTAAATTTTCAATAAATTAGTTTTTTCTAACTGTTGATTGTAAAATGAGGTTAGGGAGGTCCGAAAGGTGTACCAATAATTCTGAATAGCCTGAAACTATTTTTTTGAAATATTAATAAATATAATCTATCGGTGTCAAAAGCAAAATTATTTCTCTCAGTCCTAGATTGTTCAAATAAATTGTAAATTGAATTTTTCCACTATTGCTATTTTTGCCGAAAATCTTATATTGGAAAATATATTGAATACCTATACCATACCAAAGGTTCATTCATTACGAACAAATTTTTTTTAAAAGTTTTTTTTCATAAACATATTTCCTAGGAGATAGGCGTTCTCGTTCTGATAGCAGTCATACAAGTCTATTACGCTAAACAAATAAGAAGAAAAAATATTGAAAAAAGAAAAAAAGTCAGAAAACATCGAATACATATGCTGTTTTCAGCTTTTGGCCCGCAGGTTTTATAACTCACTTTCTCAATATGTGTATGCATAATAAAAGTCAACCGGCTACAAAACAAAGAATTTTAAACCGACCAGAATGAATTTCTCAATCAAAATTTGAGGCAAATCAGTCAATAAGTTCCTGAGTTATGATCGGACATTTAAACAAACAGGCACACAGAGATTACTACTTTATATAGATAGATCATTTTTTTAGGAACTTGTGATTTGTGATGCACCTGATCTATATACTCTTTGCATCTCCTACAGCTTTGGTAACGTTTAAGTTAAAATATAATTTTATTTTATGACAAAATTAAATTATTCTTGCTTTAGTTCAATATATTTTTTTTTGAAAAAAAGTGCAGAATTTGAATTAATTTTTTCATTTCACTCTTTTGATTTTTAAAAACAAGTTTAACAAAATTTTAAAACTTCTTTTGATCATTTATTAAACTATGTATATATATATATATATATATATATTTGTACTCCAAAATATATATATTATATATACTCGATGTACATTGAGAACTAAAAACTCAATATATAAAAAAATTACCAATTTAATTATTCAAAAAGAAAAAGTAAATAAAATAAAGAAAATGATTATTTGCCACACAACTCAAATTGTCCAATTCCTATATCTTTGCAACCTAATGGTGTAGACCTTTTATTTCAAACTTAGATTATTTGATCTAACATATTTTATGGTTAGTAATATCTCAGGTCTACTACATGGGCTAAAAGCAAAATATAGAGATTAGAAAATTCGAGTTTGTGGCAAGGACTAAATTTTGAGAATCCTGCATAGTCAAATTATATTTCCACAGAATTACACCACGGACAGAGGAAGAGACTTTCTTAATTTTTGGAGTAAAATTAATGTCAAAAATATACTTTTGGATGGAAATAGTAAACTTCATGATTTATTTTAACCGTTAATTTGTTTGAACAAAGATCGAACAATGTTCGTATACAAGTAGTTAACGCTGTCGGAAAAATAAAGTAAAAAATCATCGTTGTGTTCCACAGTTGAAAATCAAGCACTGTCCTCTATTTTAAGCTTTCCTATAAAAGCTGATTCTAAATCTATAAAATCAAATGAGAATTACTATTACAGTTTTAAACATAAAATTACCAAAAAACAGTTTTCTATTTCGATGTTGGATTCGGTAATCCCCTTCATTTTTCGCGAGCACTCAAATGAAAATTTTCACGAAAATTAGGCATTTCAATAAAATATTTACTTAGATTTTTAAGAAATGTGATAAAACGATAAACTTGAAATTATGTCTGGTTGTATTTATGTAAGGATGAATGTATGTAGGGAAAATACAAATGTTCTTGTGATTTTAAGGAGTTTGCAGTTGAGCGGAACTCTGAGTGTTTTCTCTAAAACTAACATTGATAAATTGAGCTGTATTGGTTCCAATTCAAGATTCATATAAAATATATTTTATCCTTTTATTTTGGGAACTTTACAGTGGGCCCATAAACTATGGTATAGGAGGACGACATTTGGGCATTTTTTCTTTATTTGATGTTTTTATCATCTTAAATATTCACTTACAAAATAAAATTGGTCTGTTTACATTGCACAATTGCTGTGTTTCATATTTATTGTTTGTTAAAAAAAATTCAATCTTGAAAATGGGGATAAAGATTTCAAGTTGTAGATATGACATCGTCTCAAGTTCAAACAAACAATTGACAATATTTAAACATTTGTATTTTAAGTGAATTATACCTTTTCACCTTGCTGAGATGTAGTAGGATGCAAACTTCCTGTCAATCAATTTTACTTTCAATATTCATGGTATTCTTGTTTTCAAACTGTATTCATGGCATTCTAGTTTTCAAACTATATTCATGGAATTCTAGCTTTCAAACTGCATTCATGGCATTCTAGTTTTCAAACTGCATTCATGGCATTCTAGTTTTCAAACTGTATTCATGGCATTCTAGTTTTCAAACTGTACGCTGAACGCTTGTAATTGAATGCTGAACACATTCGGAAGTTGAAACCCGTATTGGAATTTGAAATTATGCTTTACTTTTCTGCAGTTTTACAATTTCATGTTTGCTTTCATGTTTAAAGGGAGTGACCGGCAATTTATGGCAGTTAAAGTAAAGGTCTGCGGCACCAGGGTGCATGGATAGGGTTAAACAAATTTGAATTTGTGGCAAGTGTTCAGTGGATGAAGAATTTTAGATATACAAAAAATTGGCGTTTTTTATATTTAAGTTTTAAATTTAAAAAAAAAATAATCTTAAATTTCCGGGAAGAAAGAACTTTTCTTGTTTTGCCTTGTTAAGTTTCATAAATCAATTGTATCTGGAAAATGTTAACCTCTGAATCTAATGCGCACTAGCACCCAGTATACACTGTTAAAAGAAATATAAAATGCATTTCCATTCTTTCTCGACTTTTAATGATTATAATTTATATTGGACAGTTATGAGATAGATATACAGAAAGCAATTAAAGTTAAAAATTTTATTTTTAAAACAACTATCAAGATTTTATCGTTCTTTATGAATAAATTTATTGAACAGTTTTTAACAGGTCCTATAAGCTGTGCCGTGACAAACTCCTGAAAGACAAACTCCTGAAAGACAAACTCCGGAAAGACAAATTCCGGAAAGACAAACTCCTGAAAGACAAACTCCTGACGATACAAACTCCTGACGAGACAAACTCCTGATGTCTTTCAGGAGTTTGTCTTTCAGGAGTTTGTCACGGCGCCCTATAAGCAGTTTTAATGCAAAGAAGTATGTGATAATAACTTGTATATACATAATGAATTGGTATTGTTTAATCTAATTAAGATTTTCGAAGTTGTATTGTTTGTTTTTTATTTATAGCAAAATTTGAGATACTTTTTTATTAACTTTTTATTAATGAGGTATGCCCAGCTAGCTAACAAGACTACCATGCTTTAAATCTAACGAAATGTTCGATAATTTTGGTTTTTCTGGGAGTGAATGTTCAATACATAATATTGTTGAAAGTAAATCCGGGGAATTTCCTTTGGGTAACTTTGGCCCTCAATCTGAAACCAAAATATATTTATAAAAAGGGGAAAAATATAAAGTATCAAGTGTTACATAATTAAGATTTTGTCATTTTTAAAACAAATATAAGAAAAAATTATAAAAATCAAAGCATCGTTAGTCGTTTCTGTTACTGTTACTGTTACTGTTACTGTTACTGTTACTGTTACTGTTACTGTTACTGTTACTGTTACTTTTACTGTTACTGTTACTGTTACTGTTACTGTTACTGTTACTTTTACTGTTACTGTTACTGTTACTGTTACTGTTACTGTTACTGTTATTGTTACTGTTTTTGTTACTGTTACTGTTACTGTTACTGTTACTGTTACTGTTACTAACAAAGCCACCAACTCAAATTGAACATTAAAAAAATAATAACAAAAGAAAATAAGAAAGAGATAAAAAAACAGTGGATTTTGATATTCTAAAAAGTGTAAATATCTGGAAATGAAAACTCAATAAATATTTCATGAATTCAAGGTGTAGGTAGCGAGAGAAGAAAAGAATTCTAAAGAAATGCATTAAATAAACTTTATTATTCTGTGAACACACAAAGTGTCTTATATCACAAACAGAGGCTTTAATTAGAAATTCTCTCTTAAAGCAAAGTCTCTAAAAGTAAATTTTCAACTTTTCTCAAAAACCTTTGGAAATGGCTTGGGGTTGTTTTATTTACTAATACAGGGTTTCCGACAAAGGATCAGACTGTAAAGACGACCCAAAACTCTAAAAATATGACGATTTGAAGGTTGATTTTTGGTTTCTGCATTCAATTGAGCATTTTGATGGTTTACTAAATTGTTAAGTTTAAACTGATCATATTAGCAACTACAAAACTAATCTTAAATCAACAATATCCTAGAGGAGCCTAAGAAACTTATTGCTCCTATTATTATTTAAATTTAATGAATTTGCATTTTAATGCGATATAGTTTATAATATGATAAATACGTACGTCTCATGTGACCAGAACTTTCACAAATGGCAGCCATTGGTGGGAATTCTGGTCACGTGATACGTATAAATAATTTTATCAATTATATCTTTTATGAATGAAAAGTTATTAAATTCAAATAATAGAAAAAACCTAAGTTTATTAGTCTCCTCTGGGATATTATTGTTGTTGACCTACTATTTGTATACAAAATTTTATACATATAGATTTTCGCACAGAAATAAACCAGTTTTGGCTTACAAGGAACCCAAAATACAAGAAAATGGAGTTAACAAATTCTGTACTATATCGTCTCTGAAGTGAGTTACCATGTAGTTGTGTTACAATGTAAAGATAAATATGTTTACTCTTTCTTTAGTTCTCTTCATAGTTTAGATTTTTTAGAGGAGAGTGCAGGGGAAACAAATGGATCGAATGCGTAAGATTTATGTTTTAAAAATAGTTAAAAAATATGTTTTAAGAGACCCATAATACTGAGGAATGGTAAGACGACTTTTGGACACAAGTCATCATCTTAAATAATCGAATAGACATGAAGCACAAAAATTTTGGCCTCTGCCTCAGGGTTATTGTGAACGAAAACCCATTAAATCTTGTAAAGATTACATTAAGTGTTCTATCTGTTATTGTTAAGTTATCTATGCTACTGGTGATTGATATATTTACTTAATTCCAGTATCAAATAAGACCGCATAAATGTCGTCTTCATATTCCACAGTATTCCGGGTTATACTGTACCTGTCCCCAGGATTGTACTGTACTGTACTGTACTGTATACCTGTCCCCAGGATTGTACACGGTTTTTACAGATTTGTTTAACTGCTACTTTATTCCCATCTTCAATCCTTCACAAAACATTTTAGTTCTATCAAAACAGAAAAAAATAAAATGTGATACACAGGGTGTCCCACGAAAACCTTAATAGCTCCCCCCCCCCCCCCTCTCTAGATTGGTTGATTTAGCACTCTAATTACACTTTTACCTTAGAACTTCATATAAGAAGTAGAAACTTAACAGACTTAATTTTTTTTTTAAAGAAAGTACGGTCGCTTTGCCAGTTGCAGTGTTATAAAAAATCTAAAACTTTATTGAGAAGATAATTTTTCAAAAAATTACATTTTGTAAAGCCCTTAAAAATGAATATATAACTGTTCAGGAATATAGCTGATTAGGGTTTCCAACGCAAGTGGATTTTACTTGCGCGACATTGAAAGCCTAGTCTTCAGCGCAATTATGCGCAATTTAAGAACAGTTGCGCGCAATTCCGCGCAACGGAATTCCGATTGGAAACCCTCACTGAAATACATATAACCTTGAAGAAAAAACTTTTAACTTCTTCTTCTTTCTTTTTAAAGTTATAATAAAAAAGATAACAATAGAGTATCAAATAATAACAATAAATATAAGAAAGAAGTATATTGGAAAAAGAAAAGTTTTAGGTTTCTAAAATTGCACATTTTGGGATAAAAATGTCTTTTTGGAATATATTGCATCAATTCCCGGTATTGGGCTGCACAACAATACAATACAACTCCATCATTATTTATAGAATTTACTTTCAAGAGGGATCTTAGTAAAATCTTTATCCCACCCCAAAATTAGACACAAAGGGAAGGTAAAATTTATGAGACGTCACACTGGTGAGACTTTGCCACCTCGTAGCTCCTATAGTTTTGATTTTGTGTACGAGCATGAGATTAGCCAATGTATCCGAGCTAAAAACTTTAGAATTGGATACCCTTAATCCTGATCACTTAACTTGAATATCCATTGTGGAAAATTTTGATTTTATCTTTAATCCGCTCTTGTTGGATATCGCATTTCTTACTTACTACATGTAATAAAGATACGTTTCATATTTCAATTTTATCAGGAATATACTTTAGCTTAATGTGATCCGACACTGCAAACTATACAAACTACACAGAAATTTATGGGACATTACTAGTTCGACTTTGAAATTTTGTAGCTCCTCTAGTGTAACAAAAGCAAAGGAAATGAGTTTCCCGTTGAAAATTGCTTATTTTCTTTTGTGGTTTCTTTAAAGAAGTGGCAGGAGATTTCTGCAATGGAGGTCAGAATTTAAAAGTTTTAAACTAAAAAAACGACGATATCTTCCGGATAAGGGTTTAAAGGGTAATGTTGTGTATCAGGCATGCCCGTAAATCATATGAAAGGTCAGTGTCACTTAATTACACAAGTACGGTCACTTAATTACACAATTACAGTCACTTAATTACACAAGTACAGTCACTTTCAAGTGCATCATGTAAGAACTAAAAAATTCCTAAGTGCAGAATAGACCGTTCCAAAACCTCCCCGGCCGATTTGTTTCTCTAGTCGATACTTCCGGTCGAGATCTAAGCTAACATCCGGTTGAGGGACAGACATCTCTTGCTGGTCAGACCGCGCTGATCGCTGACATCCTTGGACACAGGTCATAACTGAAAGAAAATACTTATGAATGTTTTTTGTAATATCAAGGCAAAGAGGTAGGGTTTCCAATGCGCAAGTGTGCAATAGTACCGCAAAACTTCTGCAGCTGCAGTTGGCCTATCTGTCACGCACCTCTGCCCCTTTAGTAAAAGTAAATTCAACCTATATGAAGAATAAAGTCTGACCGCGTCAACCTTGTTGCACCGGCTAGTCCTGTCCATAGAGATAGGTACAGTACAAACTGGGACCGGAAAGGTTGACCCGGCTCGGAAATTCAAATGTACTACGGCTGCCCGTGCTGTAGAAATAAAAAAATCGTCTTATTGCATGGCATAACGAGAAATCGTATTGGTTCGACAAAAAGAATATTTTCCAGTGTCTCTGTTGTTACGGATAGAATTTAGCCTGTCCTGTTAATGCTTTAAAGGAATTGTTTTTATTTAATCTTTTAGTTGGAATTACTGAAAGTAAATTGCATTTAAGATTGAAATATTATATGTTTTCAAATTGAAACATTATACACGGTGGACTAAGCCAGTGGGGTCGGTCAAATAGGCCTAGGATTAGGCCTGGTACTGTAAAAAGTCTGAACGCGCCATGGGAGTTGTCATAGTTAGCCCTCCGACGGGACTATGCCAAGAAAATTGACCCCTGTCGTATGGTAGTCTGGTTAGGGCGACGTACTGTACCATAGGATCGGGTCAGTACACGCTGTTATCTGGCAGGTCGGTACAAACTGGGCAGGTCCTGTTCGTATTCAAATTTATTACGGCCCAGAGTGTATACACGTTTTCAATTTTAACTCCTCCGAACAGAGAGGTATTGAGATTAACAAAAATGTTTTTAATTTCTGATACATAATCTGATGATAAGATAAAAATATGATCTTTTAATAAAGAAATTGAACATTAAGGTTCGTCTGTGTTTAATCAAGAAAATGCGACTAAAAACGAATTAATATTTTTTAGGATCATGGCATATCAGTTTGTCTAACACCGCATACATCACCTATGAAGCTTTAAAAACAAAACTACTTGAGGTTTTTACAGATTCTGAAAGTAGATTATGTCTAGAACCACCATGTATATTTTTATAAATATTTTATGTATATATAGCTAATGTATTTTTTTATCTTTTATTATTTGTCATTGGCTGTAAACTGTCTAGGGCTCTGAGAGTACCATTTTATCTTTCAACAATTCTTTGTATTTAAAGTTTAAAAGTTATAAAACATTGGTTCAAAGGTATTTAAAGTTTAAACGTTATAAAACATTGGTTCAAAGGTATTTTTTCCGATTTGTTAATTCTACATTGATTAATGTATCATATATAATATATCATTGATTAATGTATCATATATAATATATCATTGATTAATGTATCATATATAATATATCATTGATTAATGTATCATATGATGATCTTAATTAACTTTTAAGCAGATTCTGGATTGCCTAATAATCTCCCGAAAACCTTTGAGTCAAACGCCTTTCTTTAGTCTAAAGATTCTAAAGATTTAATCAGTTTTATAATTGAAATATTTTTACGAATCTACATGCTGGTTCTAGACGTACATAGTATACTTTAAAAATCTGTGAATTAATTGACATAGGTTTCTAAATTCATATTAAGAATATTTAAAGCTCCAAAACTAAAAACGCCTAAAAAGGCCTTTAAACCGGTCGAAAAAAAAGAATATTTCATATAACCCCATTTATATATCGTAAATAAGGAATCCTAAAATTTCAAGCAAAATCGGAGACATTGACCACAAAGTGTGGTTATTAGGCATGGAATGACCTTAATCCAACACTCAGAGCCTTCATATTGTCAATTTTAAAATTAATTTTTAAGGTAATAATCTATAAAAAAAAGTCAATTTATAATCCATTCAACAGTTTAAACCTAATATTATGAAATTATGTAAAGTAGAATTTTCTCTGTAGTGGTTTATCTGGAAGAGTTTTATGAGTGTAGCGTTTTATCTGGTAGTATTTTATCTGGTACCGTTTTACCTGGTAGTATTTTATCTGGTAGCGTTTTATCTGGTAGTATTTTATCTGGTAGCGTTTTATCTGGTAGTATTTTATCTGGTAGTATTTTATCTGGTAGCGTTTTATCTGGTAGTATTTTATCTGGTAGCGTTTATCTGGTAGTATTTTATCTGGTACCGTTTTATCTGGTAGTATTTTATCTGATAGCGTTTTATCTGGTAGTATTTTATCTGGTAGTATTTTATCTGGTATCGTTTTATCTGGTAGTATTTTATCTGGTACCGTTTTATCTGGTAGTATTTTATCTGGTAGCGTTTTATCTGGTATTTTTTTATCTGGTATCGATTTATCTTGTAGCGTTTTATCTGGCAGCGTTTTATCTGGTAGCGTTTTATGAGTGCAGCTTGTTATGAGTGTACATTTTTATGAGTGTAGTGTGTTATGAGTATAGGGTTTATCTAGGTACAAGTACATAGATTCAGCATAAGGTAAAACGGGAGAGTACACCAGATAGATTATCCCTGGCTTTATAAAGGCTTACCTTCTTTATACACTGTGCATTGAACGTTTGTGTTTAACATTAATATCTTTCATCTGAAAAAGGAAAACTATTTAAAAAAAGTTGAATAAAAGTCTATTTGCTAGAATTCTAGTTATAAATCGCTTAACAAATTTTCTTTGATTGCATTATCTAAACCCGTCTTATAGTTCTTGTTTTTTTCCCATTTTCATTGTTTATTCTGATAGTTTTCTCCCCTTCGGCTTCCTTCCCCATCTATCTGCTGTCTTCTCCCACTTTCTTTCTCGAAGAAGCAATCAATTTGAAAAATGGAACACATTATCTTTCTATCTATCTATCTATCTATCTATCTATCTATCTATCTATCTATCTATCTGTCTATCTATCTATCTATCTATATATATATCTATCTATCTATCTATCTATCTATCTATCTATCTATCTATCTATCTATCTATCTATCTAGGTTATTGGCCTGAAATATCCATTAGACTTGGGTTTAGAATATTGTAGTCTATGCATCAGCATATTTAATCTCTGCAGAAAAGTTTTGAATTGCTGAGTTTCAGAAAAACTTTTAAATTCTAATTTCAATGTTTGTAATAATCTTGTCAAAACAAGACCCTTCTGTAATATTGTTCAAAAATATAATTTGCAATATTGTGCTATTCTGTGCGCAACTTCTATATCTAGATATATATAAATATGGCTCATCTTTCAAAAAATAAAAGTCAAAACGACTAAACCGATCGATCCCAAATTTTTTTTGTGGCAACTTATCCTACAGAAGGCTGGTCAAAATTTGAAAAAAAAACTTGATTTTAAAACCACTAATTTAAACGAAAATTGAGTGTTTTCATAAACACAAAAAAGGATGTATTTAATTGCTAAAACTGTGATTAGAAAAGTGGACAAAGTGTCCTAAAAGACTATCTCCTAGTATTCATTTACAGTGTGTCTCAAAAAAACGGGTAATAAGCGTTTGCAGACTTTTCTGTAATCGGTTTTTCAAGATTAAAATTTTTAAAATCTACGTACAATCTATCATTCGATAAGCCCAATTTTAAGTCTGGTAGATCTAAGAATAACAATTTCTATAAAGTTTCCAACTGGAGCTTGTGAGTAATTTGGTAAAATAAGATAATCTCCGTTTGCACAATATTGTATAACAGACTTGCCTGTAATCGGCTTTTCAAGATTGAGGCTATTTTTATATATACGTACAATTTCTGATTTAATTAATCCAATTTGAGGCTTGTAGATTAAAAATAACTATTTTATAGGCTTCTAAAGTTTCCAATTGGAGCGAAGTAAAAAGTAAAAGATAATCTCTGTTTGCACAATTTTATATTCAATGTTAGGTTACAGTTTATTACAGAACAATTGTTATTTTTAGATCTACAAACCTAAAATTGGGCTCATTGAATCGGAAATTGGAAACCTTGTATATAATTTTACTATTTTATAAACAATTTTTTATTAAAGATTTTATATTCACTTTTTACTTATTTTCATATTTTACCATACTGTACAGTGTACATATAATAAAATACTTCAATATAATAATTCCCATTTTGATGTTGGTTTTTACCATTGGTTTTCTTAAGAATTTAAAATATTTTCATTTTCTTCTTAGAGCCCCCCACCTCCTCTAGTTCATCACATAGCGGATGTGGGTCCGGAAGTTAAACCGGAAATTCAATCTTTTCATCAAAATCTTAGAGAGTAGAGTTCATCTGAACATCCTCTTCATAGAGTGATCAATGATAATGATGTTAAAAATATTAATGATGATAATGATGATAATAATGATAATGATGATAATGATGATAATGATGATAATAATGATAATGATGATAATGATGATAATGATGATAATGATGATAATGATAATAATGATGATAATGATGATAATGATGATAATGATGATAATGATGATAATGATGATAATGATGATAATGATGATAATAATGATAATGATGATAAAGATGATAAAGCTGATAATGATGATAATGATGATAATGATGATAATGATGATAATGATGATAATGATGATAATGATGATAATGATGATAATGAATGATGATAATGATGATAATGATGATAATGATGATAATGATGATAATGATGATAATGATGATAATGATGATAATGATGATAATGATGATGATAATGATGATACAATGATAATACAATGATAATGATAATATGGATGATAATGATGATAATGATAATAATGATAAAATATTTAGTATAAAAATGATTCAGGATAGAATTGATGAGAGTTTTCAATATTCTCATTTTCCAGAATCTTCCTTTATCCATTTTAACTAAAGTTTTGCATAAGAATATTCATCAAACTTAGAACAAACCAACTATAATAGTTTATCTTACAAAATTGAATTTCTCAAGTAGTGATTTTTGTTCTTCAGAAAAGAAGCATTTGTTGGCACAATGTTTTAAAGTGTGTGTGTGTGTGGATAGGAACAAAGCTAATATATTACATATACTTGAAGAAACAGCTTTAAAAAATACAGAATTAAAAACATGATCAACAAAACGATTTAATTAGTATTGTTTTGTTGTTTGTCTTTTTTTCTGTTTTTTCCTTTTATCTTTTGCACAGAAAAATATATATTAATTATCTAAAATATAAACTTTAGGAAGCTCTGGAAGCCTCTGAAAGGGACTGCAGTAAACGTAAAGTGACCCTTCCTGGATAGACTCGCATGTCCGATTCACAACGGTTTCCTTAAAAGCTTTGTCTGATCTAGTGTAAATTAGATATTAATGTTTATGTTCTGAAAAATGCTTATTTTCATTTGTGTTTTCTGTGAAAAAGTGACTTGCGCAATTCTGGTGCAGGATACAGTATAAGAATTATCAGAATTCGAAACTGTTCAAGTCAGAATATCGATAAAGGGTTAAAACCAGGCTTTTTCCATTTTTTGTTGTATTTGGAACAATGTTTACACGAACAACTTTTTAATTTGGTAATTTTTGAGAATCTGGGAGTAATGTAAAACTTTTTTTTGTATAGATATAGAGTACAAAGAACTCGATATCCACTGAGACATAAACTTTTAGTGAAAGGGTTTCACGATGTCGAAGTATGTTCATCCTTGGAATGCGGTCCAGGTTAATTAAGGTTGAATCGCAAACAGGAATTTTGTTTGCGCCGAAGGAACACATTTTAAGGGATTGTAAACATAATTTCATGTGACCACCCAGATTGGCATGCGCGATTCCGAACGACACCCTTAATGGAACCTTGTCTAAATTAGCAAAGCAATAGTTTGAGTAGAAGTAAATCCATTTACTGAGAACGCCGATTGAAGGATTCAACACTCTAATTGGATAATGAGATAGATAGAAAAATAGATGTTACCGCCATATTATTTCTATTGGTTCAGAATAGACAACAAATGGCTGAACCTTGATTTGATCAGGCGCTAATGGACTCGGCATTCAGGAGTGATCCATGCTGAAACTACGTCAAAAGTTTTGCTGAACCAGATTTTCCATCTTTTGAAAATTCAGATTCATTTCTTCTAGGTCAGCATAAAGGACTGTTTACGTAATTCAAGTGAACAGCTCCTTGCAAAAATGTCAATGTCCGATTCACAATGGTACCATAAAGGAGTTGTCTGATCAAACATGAATCAGATATCAATGTTTATAATTTTGGAAAACTGATTATTTTCAATTGTTGTTTCTCCACAATAGTGACTTGCGCATTTCTACTGCTGGAAAACATAAAAAATATTAAAATGAAACACTTCTGAAAACAACAATATCTTCCACAATATTGATCAGATAACTAGGTTGTAAGAGTACCGTAGGAATCGGCCATTGTCATCTTTGTAAGAATGGTCACTTAATATTTTGCTAACAGTCCCTTTATAAGAAGCTTTAATTGTACTTTGAGAGGAAAGTTTAGTGTCTTCTGGATATTTAGATATAAATTCCAAAAAGGCCTTATATATATATATATATTTAAAGTCCATTAAGCTTTCCACCCATTAAATATATTGCATGGTATAGATAACCTGTATACACTATACACTGTACACTGCACACAATGCACAATGTACAAGAAAGAAAAATAACAAAAAAAGTCCAAACATCTTTAATTTTAATTTTTATTTCAATAGAGCAAGTATATTTAACGAGTTGAAAATCATCGGGTTTTTTCAGAGTATTCGTTCGTTCTTTTAAACGATACCGTTACTTTTTTTAAAACTATCGTTTCTGTTTGTTCACCAATTGAATTTGAAAACGTTTCTCAACCTTCTTAAACCGAATTATACATGAACGTTTTGAAAATTATTTTTTAAATTCTAATTTGAAACCGATTTCACCCCGAGTAACTTTGGTGCCTAGATAAATTAAATCTATTGTCGTTAAGATCGATGGTCCAATACAGAACTGCAATTTTAGAACATACGCATGGTGATTTTCAAAATTCATTTCAAAATAGAGTTAAAGGATTCTTTTAACTGATTCAACAAATTTAGAATTTAGAAGAAGAAAAAAAATTTGATTATTTTTATTTAAAACAAAATATTTCCATCGTCTTCTTTCAAATATTTGTAAATGTTTTAATTTAAAATTTTAAAATGTATTTAACATATTTTAATTTAGAAATGGAGTAATGTTTTCATGTGCAATCCTTTATCCTTTTAATCTAAATGTATATAAATAAAATTCTAATTTTTTAATGCACATTTATACCATTAACCCCCCCCCCCATTCACCCCTTTTCCATTCTGGCTGAGCTCGCCCGTTCGCTGAAAATGTTTGAAATTAATGATTTGGTGGAAACATCATTTATCCTTAACCTTTATACTAGAGTACATTCCTTTATCCCTTCCTTCCCTTCCTTCCCTTCTTCCCTTCCTTTCCTTCCTTCCCTTCCTTCCCTTCCTTCCCTTCCTTCCCTTCCTTCCCTTCCTTCCCTTCCTTCCCTTCCTTCCCTTCCTCCCCCCCCCCCTCCCTATAGATAAGATTACATAGTAAACCCTGTCTACCCAGAATTTACCGGTTTATCTGAGAAACAATTTTCTAGAAGACATATTGGATTATCCACTCCTCCTTCTACTCTACTCATCATACAGGAGAAAATTGAACGAAATAATTTAGATTTTTGACACTTTTAAAAATAAATAATTTTTAAAATTTCATTTTATTGTTTTTAGATTTGAATATAAAAATATTCAAATATTTAAACGAACAGTTTTTATGTTAAATAAAAGATTTCTTAATTCTGAATAGGAGAAGATGGAAATAAATTAATCAGTGAATGGATAGTGGATTATAAAAAAACCTGATAACTGAAGTTATTCAAATATGTAAATATACATCAAAAAGTTTCCTAAAAGAAAGACTCGGTATCAGCTTTTTTACGCCAAAAAATTTTCCGTGCATAGTTTTCAAAGAAAGCTGCTGTTAGAAATGCATGAATTTCGTTATCTAAACGTTAATTAGAATTTGAAAAAGATGGCTACAAATGTCTGCATTATATTTTAAAAGAAAAATTAATCATTGTAGTAAATATCAAACCGAATAAAATTAGGGTACCATTGTGAATCTGGTTTGCCCTCTTTTAAGTTCTAATAGCAGGTAATTTGAAATTACGTTTATAGTCCCTATTGTGCGTTGACATGACGCGGCCCGCCCTACCATATGATTATACATGCTTTGCAGACGGTACTTCATTTGAATAAGAAATATTTGTCTGATGTACAATTACCGCGTATACAATAACCTATTCTGAATATTTCTTATACAATTGGAGTACCGTCTGCAAAGCATATGGTAGGGCAGGCCGCGTCAGGTGTATCTCCCTTCTATTTCATACTCCTTGGTATATACTGTATATTTCTCTCTTTACCTCTGTAAGTTCTAAACCAGACTCCGCCAAAAAGTGCAAATAACGGCGCTAGAGAATCTAGAATGTGCAAACCAAGCCTCCACTCCGCATGCAGACTTGCACAATTTCCCTCAGCAGCTGAGGTCAGGTTTTTTGAATACAGAAACAGAGAGGTGAAAACTTTTAATGAACGGATTCAGTTAACCCTATTCAGGATGATGTCTGGTTTACCCAAAATAGTCTGTATCTCCTTATTGTGATACATATCTATAACATCTGATAGACTTTAATAATATGCAAAAAAATGAAAATTTGCAAAATTTCAAATACTCATTGAAATTTCAAGTTATATTAAGCTATAAATGTGAAAAAAGTGAGCGAAGTACGATAAATTATATATTTTTAAAAAGCGCTTACCCATTCACATTCAAATCCGCAAAAATATTTGCAAAAACTAAAATTTTATTCAAGAAAAACTGAAAATGTGCAACTTTTTTAACTTTTAACGGCATCTGTTATACACAAAACAATGCAAAATTTCTTTGCAAAAATTGTGCAATCTGCTTCCTTTGGTTCAAGGCTTTCCAAAGAAATATAAAAAGTCAAAATCCAATGATCGGAAGTAGGTCAAAATAAACATAATTAGTCGGGTAAAGGTAAAATAAGGCATTAGGCAGTATGCATGAGGACTCAGGCAGTATGGTATAAAAGCCCCGCTTAAAACTTGAAGTGAGGGGCATTTGTTAGTTAGAAAAGTAAAAAAAATTTGAACATCTTCAGACCAATAACTTTTGAGCTTAGGGTTAAGTTTGTCAAGTTTGAATGGTTTTTTTTTTTGGGGGGGGGCTCAGCACTGGAAACCAAGGATTTCGCTGCTTGGAAGCTGTTTTATATTGAAAAATAGTATTAATTTTTCAGAAAAAAATATCTTTATTCGAATTAAAGAACTGTATTGGTCAGACATCTAACTGCTCTATACATAGAAGGTCACTTGACATGATACATTACGGTCTACATAAGGACAAAAAGACTTAATTCGACTTGCTGAAATTTTTTTGTATATAAAAAATTACAAACTTTTTGTGTTATGCCTAGTGAAACTTGTTAAGTTGTAAGTGGTTATGTGAATACCGTATACATTCTAGTTATTCAACAGGGACTAATTCATTGATAGAGTTCAACAAATTAATCTAAATAAAAGAAGAAGGAGGAGTGTAGGGCACTGCGATTTAATGGTCTCACGCTCTCAAGCAAAAATCGTTGAGAATTTTGCCAATAACTTCTAAAAAACCAAATCTAACAAGAAGTGCTTTACAGTGCTAAAATGTACATGTAAAGGGCTACAGAAAAGCATAAGTGAGTTAGAGCGGTAAAATCTAAGCTTAGGGCGTTGCGACACTTCAAAGTCAGCCCTGTCTTAAAAATTGATGAGACTGTTTATAAGGAGGCTGAATCTATGTGAGGGATAGGGGGGATATATTTGGTGTACCGTTCCGTTTTGTTGTCTATTCTGCATAGTATATTATACATATACAACTTCTCTAATAGCAGGAAAAAGTTGGTCTGCCAAATCACAACGATATATTTTCAATCTAGTTTTAAATGTCTGCAAATTGTTTATCTTTAATGTCAGTTCTCAGTTAATGCCGCAAAGCAAATGAAGGAGGTTTAGAGAATTTATATTTAATTTCAAAGAAGAAAACAAAGTAGTTTCTTCATTGTAAAGCTATGTGAATCGGGCAAATAAGTAACCCATAACATTAATGGTGACTTGAAATAACACCTAACTGTGCCTTGTTATTTTAATCTATTCATTTAATGGTTTACTGCAGCACACATAAGGTAAATACTGTAGAAAATTGATTTATTATGACAGTATTGGTGCAGAGAGCTGCAGAGAATATATTCTATAAAACCACTGCAGTACTATATCCCAGGTTGCAATCCTGGAGTATTTAGATTTATAAATATTAGGCTTTTAGGGCACCACGCGCCCATCTTCTTTTTTAATTGTGAACATGTTCTCTTTGAATAACAACTATAAAACAAAAGCAAAAAAAAAAATTCGCGGATTTTATCAAATTATTTTTGTGGATTTTCAAAATTTTAAAAAATCGATTTTTTAGCGGCAAATTTTTGAAAATTTGATAATTCACAAACCCTTCCCTGGATCACGCGAAGAAGAAAAATTGGGCCTGATCGTCGGTTCAGCTGGTTTGACGTTTATTGGATACATACACCCAAGCAAAGTATATATATAGGTAAAGGTGGACTTTTTCTTTAAACAAATAGGGGGGGGGTAGTTGTTGAAAGAGGAGGAGGAGTTGTTGAAGGATAAGGGGGAGTTGTTGAAAGAGGTAGAGGAGTTGTTGAAGGATAAGGGGGAGTTGTTGAAAGAGGAAGAGGAGTTGTTGAAGGATGAGGGGGAGTTTTTGAAAGAGGAAGAGGAGTTGTTGAAGGATGAGGGGGAGTTGTTGAAAGAGGAGGAGGAGTTGTTGAAGGATGAGGGGGAGTTGTTGAAAGAGGAAGAGGAGTTGTTGAAGGATAAGGGGGAGTAGTTGAAAGAGGAGGAGGAGTTGTTGAAGGATAAGGGGGAGTAGTTGAAAGAGGAGGAGGAGTTGTTGAAGGATAAGGGGGAGTTGTTAAAAGAGTAAGAGGAGTTGTTGAAGGATGAGGGGGAGTTGTTGAAAGAGGAGGAGGAGTTGTTGAAGTATAAGGGGGAGTTGTTAAAAGAGTAAGAGGAGTTGTTGAAAAATGAGGGGGAGTTGTTGAAAGAGGAGGAGGAGTTGTTGAAGGATAAGGGGGAGTAGTTGATGGATGAGGAGGCTTTGTTGAAGGAAGAGGGGGAATTGTTGAAGAAGGAGGGGTAATCGTTGAAGATGGTGGGTGACATATTTGTGATTTTTTTGGATTGTGATGACTTGAACATTTCCATTTACTGGAATAATCTTAAATCACTTGATGACAAAAATTGCGCCTCATCATAAACCTTAATATAAACATATTTCATTTTCTACCTTTTCATGTTTTTCATACAGCTTACAGTTCTACAGAACGGTTTTCATTTTTGATTTGGATAAAATGATAATTTAGAAATTGTAGGTTATTATATACAATAAGAGAATTGTGTATAAAAACAGAGTATACTTGAAAATCAAGATGATAAATGATTCTTTCCTTGCAAAACTTTTCTTCTTAATCTAACCCCTCTTCTCATTAATCTTCTTTCTTGCAGGTTGGCAGATTAAGGTTTCAACAAATCCTTTGTATTAAACCATTTACAAATTACATTTATTTACATTATTGTTGCTTATGTTTTTTCCCTTTGAATATAAAATAAATATGTAGAACCAAATGGAATGATCTTAGCTTGGTTTAAAATCATAACTTGAGTCTAGAACAATGTTTGTGGATCCCACTCAACAAAGTCGCGATATTTAAAGCTTTACAGCGCTTCATGACCTCTTTCCAACAGTAAACAATTCACGGTTAAAGCTTTTTATTGTTTTTAAACTTTACAGGATTTTTTATTTATTTTGATGCATTTTCAAACATTTTAAAATGTCCACTTTTTTTAAGTCAAAATTTTTAATTTCAAATTTGGCCTATTGGTTCAGCCGTTTCAACATTTATTGGATACAGACAGACAAATAGACATGCGAAGTATATGTTTTCTGAAGAATGCCAAGCATGAAACATAATTTCGATACAATAAAACTTCAAATCATGTTTTGAATACTTATTTTCTTATATATATTATATTTTGGATGAACAAGTAAGAAAAAAACTACAGTTTTACAGTAATATGATACTTTTTCTTTTTCAGACACTTTTTATACTTTGAACAAGCATATTCTTGAGAAGGAACTGATTTATACAATGAACAAGCATATTCTTGAGAAGGAACCAGACACTGATTTACACATTGAACAAGCATATTCTTGAGAAGAAACCATGAATTCACGAAATTGAAAGGAGGACAATCCATTGTTTTAAACCATTTATGAATAAAGCTAGGATCTGCAGACGTAATTTCAAGTTATAGAGCGGCATGTGAAATTCACAAGGATTCAAACTTTTGTATCAAAAATACATTCATGAAATTACAACCACAGTATCTACACATTTTTCCACATGGTGAATGTTGTTTATGGGTTTTATGCGAAAATGTGCAGTAAAAAAACCATAATGTTAAAATTGTATTAATGTTTAATTGTGTAGATAGATATATTAATTATAATTCAATTGCATGTATTTAATTATGATTCAAATACATGCACCTAGATGTGTAATTCAAACTTTGCAACTGCCATCTACCAAGGTTCATTAAATAGTTAATATAATTTAACCATAATCTACATTATCCCGAACAGAATTTTATGCAAACAAATAAAAGCCGACACTAGGTCATAAAAAGAAATTTAAGAAAAAATTGTGAGAACGTTGTTTTGTTTACATATTTTAGTGGCCATAGTTTAAAGGGATTTTAAACATCATTTCTAGTTATCTTCCAGTTGTAGAGCGGCACCAGGGTATCCTGTCTGATTAAGACTAAATTATAGATATCCATGTTTGTAGCTTTAAAAACTGATTATTTTCAATTGTGGGTTCTCTTGAGAAGTGACTTGAACATTTCAACCGCATAAAAACAAAGAAAACAGGTATATAACCCTCTCTAAATGGAGTGTTCCACGAAAATACAATTTGGCACTTGTTTTTAATGAAAAGTGAAGAAAATAAATGGCAAAATAATTGTGTTAATTTTTTAGACTTTTTTCTTGAAGAAATCCAACAGAAATGGAAAAAAACTTTGTATCTTTATTATTATTATTATTATTATTATTATTATTATTATTATTATGTTTATTATTACAATTATTACTATTATTATTATCATTATTATTATTAGTAGTAGTAGTAGTAGAAGTAGCAGTAGTAGAAGTAGTAGTAGTAGTAGTAGTAATAGTAAATGTAAAGAATTTTAAAAACTGATATATTTTTATTTGTTGTTTCTCTAAAAAAGGTGACTTGGTTGCAGAGGAATATAAACTGAAAATAACAAAGTTGATTTTGCAGTTTTTTTTTCTTGAAGAAATCCAACGGAATTGGAAATGAAAAGTTTTATATTTAAGTTTATGATGACCAAGAGACCAGAACACAACTACCAGAACAGTCGTTAAACTAAATATCCAGGATTTTTCACATGAAATTTTTATTCAATGCAATTGAATTTTAGTTTTTATAACTTGCGGATTTTTTGTGCTTTCAAATTTTATTTTATCAAAAAGATGAAAGAAACTGCGCTATGTTTGCGAAATAATATCTACGCACCTTTTCACTGGCTGGGGTCAACATTCATTTTGTTTAAAACTGATAAAAACGTTTAATTAATGATTATGTCTTTTGATTTTTAAAATATAATATTTGTTCATTAACACTGTAAATTATGTTGTAGACGTATATTATACACCGACCAAAATGTAAAATTTAATTTCTTATAACTGCAAAAAAAAACATTGTTAAATAAGTTTTCAATTCTGAGAAAAGATGAAAAGAAATAATAATTTGTTTCCAAAAATATTCTTTTCAACTTCAGTCTCTTTCAAGAAAATCCATTTTTGATCAAATTCATTTTTCGAACTCATAGAAAAGCCTAGATTTGTTCTGCATCTAACACAGGGTTGCCGTACAAAAGTACTTTAATAAGGACCCTACAGAAAGTCCACAGAAAGTCCACCAAGGTAAACAAAATCCGAAAAAAAATTCTATTTCAAATACGAAGAAAAGGGCGGCTTAAAACAACATTTGAATTGAAAAAGGGGTGTAAAGTACACTTTAAGCCTAGTATTTATTATAATCATGTCAAATGTACTTGAGTTTATTTATGATAAATTTTGGAATTGTCTAACATATAAGAAGATTATGAAAGAAATTGAATCTTTGCCACAAACTCTGACAGACTTAATGTCGCATCTGACCTTAGATATTTCAAACTATGAAATATGTTTTAAGTATAACAGACGTGTACACCATCAGATTACATTGAGTGTGTAGCAAAGATTAAATTTTCTATTCTGAAAAATTCATTCTAAAGGACACATAGTATTGTGTGTTTTTAAGTGAGTTTGTTTATATGTTTTTAAAATCAAAGGAATGTAAAAATTCGAATTTTCTTTAATTAACATTTGTTGTCACACTAACAAACTTAATTCAAACTAATTTATAGTTTAACTTTTACTTATGATTAAATTAAACTTCAAACCTCTGATGTTAAATTTAAATTAATTTTCTAGCATTTTTTTGCCTATTTAAACACTATTAAGGTGAATTCAAGTAACACCGGTGTCCTGCATGGAGCGGACTCTTGCAAGGGGCAGACTCGACTCCTAAAGTTTTAACCATTTTACCACAATGTTAGACATAAAAAGCAATGTAAAAACATTAAAAATTATTATTTGACTTATATTAAATACGTATTTAGTTCTTAAACGTATTTTAAAGGGGATAAATGTTATTTCCTCTTGAATGTCGTCTTCCTTTCAAATCATCAAACAATTAACATTTACTCAAGACATAGATAAATCTTTATGTGTTTTTCCAATCTAAATACATTAATAAAGATCGGAAAAAGTCTTAACATTGTGTTGAAATGGTTAAAACTTTAATGGGTGTCCGCCCCGTGCAAGAGTCCGCTCCATGCATGACACCTGGGTTCCAATTAAATAAGTTGCTCGCCCGGTTCACCTTGATGACCTTTAAACCTATAGTTGACATATAAATGCAAGGGAACTTTTATTAAGAGCTGTACTTTAAAATGATTAATTTTCAGAAAAAGAAGAATATCTTCCACTTTAATGCCATGTATAAAGGGTACCTTTGAAGCTCGAACATGCCACTCTGAAAATGGACTGTCACTTGAAAAAAGAAGAACTTATATTTTGTTAAAACTTTATCGTAATCTAATATTCTTTTTATGTCGTAAAAATCGTAAAAAATTTAGTTGTATACTTTATAGTTTTTTTTGCTAATTAATTTAATGAATTCTTTTTGTTATTCTTATTTACTCTTTAGTAACCTCTATATATATCTCTTAGAGTAAAAATGAATTGAGATTAATCAGTTTGATAACTTATAAATAAAGTAAAGTATAAGTAAAGTTGGTTCATGTTTAATAACCTCCATATATATCTCTTAGAGTATAAATGAATTGGGATTGATCAGTTCAATAGTTTATTTATAAAACACATCTGTGAAGGTTGGGTCATGTTTTAATAAGGTCCTTTTGATGCTTGAGAAAACTATTGTTCAGCTAAGGAAAGCATACTGGTCCTCTGGCTTTCCAGGATGGGCCTGAGCATGTTCAACTCCGCTAGTGCTCTTGATGGGCCTGTATTAGGCCTAAATACAATCCCCGAGTAATTCTCAATTCATCCTTTAAGTCAATAGTTCTCTGTCTAGTCCTTATATAATCCCGATAAACAGTCCTTAAGGCTTCCCTTGTAGCAAGACCATCATTTAGCTGCTCCTGGTCTGGATTCCCACTAGCAGCTCCTCTAGA